CGCTGCACTCTTTTTCTCCCAAGGCATCTGAACAAGAATAAGACAAGTGTCTCACTGAGGGCACTGGTCTCCAGCAATCACTGACTCCAGGGGTGTGTGTGACCACATTTTATTTGGAATAAACCATGCATGTATGAACTGAAACTCTAATACATGTTGATGTCATCTCATACATACATGTACATTCACACACACCAATTGGTTGGTCCACTGGAGAACACAAATACACAGCCAACCATATATGTATGTTGTGTTGTATATGAGGCTTTCAAAAATGTATGGGAAAATGCCATTTTATTTTCCCACAAACTGTTTAAAGTCGCCCGTTTTCTGTTTCTCTGGAGAATGCTAAGAGACCTCCTGCCATCCTGAAAGCTATCTTAAACCATCTTACTCGATTACCTCCTTACTATTCATCTCCTGAACCAGAGAACATTAGTCTTCTGTTAGCTTGCCTTGCTCACACTTCTGGTCCCCGTGTCTAGCAGGGAACCTGTCATGTAACTAGTGCTGAATCTTGCTTGTTGATTCATTGAAAAGCTAACATGGCAGCCACACTCACTAAAAGCTCTCTGTTGATGAGTGGAACTAAGAAAGGGAGGCACGAGGCCACTCCAGGAAGAATAGGGGCACCAAGACCAGGTGGGCAGCCTCGAGTCCAGGGAATGAGGAAGGACAGCCTTTCCAACAGAATGGATCCTCTCTGATGCCCACTGGTAAATAGGCAAGATCAGGGCAGTGAGCAGTCAGTCAGATGAAGTGTAAGGGTGACCCACCCTGGCAGAGCTGGAAAAGGGAAGGAAGGCCAGCCTCGCAGGTACCAAGGGAAGAGATTCCTCCCAATACTCCAAGTGGTGTCCCTGCCAACCCATGCGCAGGGCTCCATCCCAGACGTCTGACTTGGGTCCTGCACTCCCTGACAGCAATGAGTACCTGGATCACAGGGGAACTTCTGATCCTCCGTTTATAATCTCTGCCCTACCTAGGAGCAAAGAAAGCTTGCAAATGTGGCCCATCGCTCTCAGGAATTTCTTTACTAAAAGTAACGAGAGGCCCTATTTACCCAATAGCTACCACAGCCTGAGTAGCATTTTAAGCACCCCCATGTGTATAATTAATACAGCCCTTCCTTCCATCCATTCTTTGGGAGATGCTTCTGCTGTTGCTATCATTAACATTATGACCCCTGGCTTCACAGATGTTACTTGCTGTCAATTGCCACTCATGGGTTCTACCCAGGGTACCTGAATAGCTCCTATCATCCTTTCTGAAGCAACTGTTTGTTTTCCCACACTGCAGGTTTATCTACTTCATTGGCCCTTTGCCTCTTCCTTGAGGATACGCCATTGGGGGAAGAGGAAAAGATTCAAATGAAACTCAGTGGGTCCAAGGTGGATAATCACAGCGGAACGCTTTCAAGTACTGGACTAAGATTATAGCCTACCCGTGCTCTAACTGAACTCCACAAATTGGCTCTTAAA